CTATACATAAATATATTTATATATTTACTTACATACATATACATACATATACATACACATATATACAGTATATATATATATATATATATAAAATAGGAAAATGTTAGCCTTATGATCACGAACCACGCACAGACCCATCATCATATACTCCACCTTGTCGAACATTTATTTCTTCTCATTTACTTCACTATCACTCCGTCTGAAAGGTGGTCAGCAGCAGCAGGATACAGATGGCTTTGATACTCACCAGTTAATAAAAGAACTCTTGCCAGCAGAGTGGTTGCCCATCAACATGACATTGATCTTCTTTCTAGGAGGCAGCAACTTCAGGCCAAGGCTCTCTCCAATAGCTACTAAGCCTGAAAGGGAGAGAGAGATTCAGATCAGCTACCCAAGGCAACAGAAATCACTATCTATACACTATATATATAGTGTTTGTGTTGTATGTCCTTGTATGTCCATGTATGTGCACAAGTGAGAATATGCAGCTGGCTGAATAAGTTTTATTATCTTAACCCATTGCCGCCGGGGAAATTGAACAAAAAATGGGGAAAATTCTGTACTCATTTTCTATATTTTTGTGAAATATCTTTGTCCATAGATGGCTCTGCTAGTCCTGATTTCACCTTTCCTTGAATTGGCGGGAAAAAAACGTATTCTTACTAGTGCTATAAATATAGATGGTGTTATTTTTAACAGCAAATTAGGATACCGTTAAACATTTACGTAAATCAATGAAAGGGTGAACGGGCGAGACAGGCAGTACCCGTAATTGGCTGATTGGATACTTAGTACAAGTATAGCCATCTATGGGTAAAAACAATCAAACAAGTCGACTCACAGTGGGCATGGCATGTACGTACATGCCATCCCCGGGGGCAATGGGTTAATATTATTGAGCTGGGATTTTATCTGGTAACGATGTAATGCATTCAAACATAACAATACAATATCAAAAAAAGGTCTATGCAAATTCTATCACTCATATCTTAATACTTTAAATGAGATGTACAAGAAAGCAAATGAAAATAAACATTCCATATTTAATTTTTTAACTGAAAGTTAATGCCCTTACTTATACTTCTTACAGTTTAGACTCACCTAAGGATGAGTGTTCTAGAATAATGATAATAAAAATTGAAAAATGAAATGAATACAGAAACTTGTAAATATGAAATAATTGTCATTTGCCTATATTTCACTTTCCCTTTCAATAACATTTACAAGTTCATTACCACTTAATACCATTAAAGTTTTGTTTGTCCATAAAGCAAAAACATACATTTTTTTTATATGATCATTTGTTATTTAATATATGCGTTTATTATATATGCTTATCAACCTCAGTTGATAAGGATGTTACTCTCTCATCCATCAGTTAGCTGCAGCCCTAATTTTTAGATGCATTAATACCATGGAAAAAGGAAAGGAAAAATAATGGTAGACAATATTATATGCCACTGTGATAATTTACAATTAATATTTTCATAAATGTATATAATTTTGAGAGGGTGAACCTTTTGGCAGGAAAGTATCATTATTACACTTTCTCACACTTTTCTGTCTTGGCGGGACAATATCTGCTGTTTTCTTATAAAATGTTGACAGTGTCTAGTTACATCTAAATTATATTTAGCTTGATTGTATATTTTACTAAGATGCTTCATGACAAGGGAGAACAAATGAACTTGTATGGATAGTATTTATTTTGTTCTTCTGAATTAGTAAATGATATGCTTATGGAAAGGCAAATATAGGCAACAGACAGATATATAGTGTAATTGTTTATTTTTACTTTATTTCGTTCCATTACTAACTTATCTTTTTATTTTTATAAATTTCCTGGAAAGCATTTGCCTTTTAGCGAGTGTAAGTTGTAGGTAGTACAGCAAAGTGATAGCATTAACATATGATTCGGAAATTAAGACAGAGAATGTCTTTTTTCATGAACTACCTCATGCATTTTATTTTAGATATTAAAATATGAATTTTGACATTGTCTATTCACTAACAGGGTTTATATTGTTCCACTTAAATACACTAGTGTTACCAGATAAAAGCCTAATTCGATAACCTTAGGGTGGCTACAAATTTATTCTGCCAGCTGTACATCCACATATTTGTCTGTGTCTGCACATGTATCTATGTGTACATATGTGCACACACACATACACTGATACACAGATACACCCACACATCCACAGGTGTGTGTGTGTGTGTGTGTGTGTGTGTGTGTGTGTGTGTGTGTGTGTGTGTGTGTGTGTGTGTGTGTGTGTGTGTGGGTGGGTGTGTGGGTGGGTGTGGGTGTGGGGGTGGGGGTGGGTGGGTGTGGGTGTGTGTGGGGGTGTGTGGGTGTGTGTGGGTGCATGTGGGTGCATGTGGGTGTGTGCATGTTGGTGTGGGTGTGTGCGTGTGGGTTTGTGCGCGTGGGTGTGTGCGGGTGGGTGTGTGCGGGTGGGTGTGTGCGGGTGGGTGTGTGCGGGTGGGTGTGTGCGGGTGGGTGTGTGCGGGTGGGTGTGTGCGTGTAGGGTGTGTGCGTGTGCGTGTGGGTGTGCGTGTGCGTGTGGGTGTGGGTGTGTGCGTGTGCGTGTGGGTGTGTGCTTGTGCGTGTGGGTGTGCGCTTGTGCGTGTGGGTTGTGTGCTTGTGCGTGTGGGTTGTGTGCTTGTGCATGTGCGTGTGCGTGTGCGTGTGCGTGTGCGTGTGCGTGTGCGTGTGCGTGTGCGTGTGTGTGTGTGTGTGTGTGTGTGTGTGTGTGTGTGTGTGTGTGCGTGCGTGTGGGTGGGTGTGTGTGGGTGGGTGTGTGTGGGTGGGTGTGGGTGTGTGTGGGTGGGTGTGGGTGGGTGTGGGTGGGTGTGGGTGTGTGTGGGTGTGTGCGTATTGGTGTGGGTGTGTGCATATTGGTGTGGGTGTGTGCATATTGGTGTGGGTGTGTGCATGTGGGCGTGTGCGTGTGGGTGTGTGCGTGTGGGTGTGGGTGTGTGCGTGTGCGTGTGGGTGTGTGTGTGTGTGTGGGTGTGGGTGTGCGTGTGGGTGTGTGCTTGTGCGTGTGGGTGTGTGCTTGTGCGTGTGGGTGTGTGCTTGTGCGTGTGGGTGTGTGCTTGTGCGTGTAGGTGTGTGCTTGTGCGTGTGGGTGTGTGCGTGTGGGTGTGTGCTTGTGCGTGTGGGTGTGTGCTTGTGCGTGTGGGCGTGTGCGTGTGGGCGTGTGCGTGTGCGTGTGGGTGTGTGCTTGTGCGTGTGGGTGTGTGCGTGTGGGTGTGTGCATATGAGTATATGTGTGAGTGTACTTATGTGCAGCATATGTAGATTTTAATCATATTCATGTATATATGCCCAAATAAAATCTCTCAAAAATCTGGGACACTGACACTCCTTTACCAACAGTATTGCCATCCTTCCTATTGCATAGTAAAAGCTGCTCAATTAACCATATGCAAATATATAAAATACTACAGAGAATGCAAAATATTTCTGTTCACACACACACACACACAAAAAAAAAATGAAAACAATGTGTTCAGCACATATTGTTTTAATTCATTAATTTTTTTTCCAACAATCCCAAAGCAGCCCATTGCATAAACCCTTCAAACACAATATCAACTTTGAAAAGATCCTTAAACATCATCATGAAATTTTCAGCTATACGCAGTATAGCCTACCATCTAGAAGCAAACAACCACCACTCTAATTTACATCCCAGTCATTTCAAAAATATAAATTATCAAGAGAAAACAGAATTCTACATCATATTCTTAAAGACAGGCACTTTCATATTCCCATAATGAAACACTTCTACCTGTTTGTTGCTGGTGGGCAGTTTTTTAGGTACTGCAAGGTTCCCAGCAGGGTCCTCCGAAGTAGATCAATTAAAAAAGCAATATACAGGTTAGTTAAAAAATAAGAATTCATAATATCGAATAAATAATCACCATAAAGATATGAGGATGTGAATGGCCATGGGTTTATGGAGTGAGCACTGTAGTTTTTTGTGCATTTTGTTACACACAGCTGGCTCCACAAGTGCTCAGCCATCAAGAGGTAAATTAGTATACCCTAGTGACTGCACCGATTTTCCCCATTCCTTTAATTTGCCTTTTTTTTCTATCAGTATTGATACTGTTATAGTTATTAATGACGGTGTGATCATCATTATGTTATTAGACTACTAATAACAATAAAAAATGTAAAATCATTTTAAAAAATCAATTGTTGCCTTTCTTGCTATCTTCTTAGACACCACCCTGTACTGGTTCTATCCACAAAGGCTAACTATGCTAGAGGGACTCCCTATGCTGCATGAGCATAAATATTTCTGCACATGTTTACACAAGTTTATGGTGTCAGGTGGCCTTTTACCCCTTAATGATGGGTGAAGAAATTTAAAAAAAAAAAAAAAAACACTCTGGAGATCAATGGCAATGCATGACTTTGAGAGCGGGAGTTCGGTACATCAAGCCGAATCACCAGCTCGTAGCGCTTTGCCTACTATATATTTATATGCAATTTTCCAGTGAGGGGTACTCTTGATATACCAATTTATTATCAATAGTCATTAAACTTACACTACAAGTGTAATTTATTACACATATATTGGCTTCTGCTCTGATAGAACAATTAAAGAAGAAAAGCTGACTCAGTTTTCCCATGAAAAGAATTTCCTCAGTGATGGAACAGAAACACAAACCAGCTCTTTCCCATTCCTGCCACCTCAAACTGCTTATTGTCAATTAGAAATATGCAAAAATTGACTCATGAAAGGGATATTATTCAAAATGCATTAATCTAAATCTATTTCTTAAATGGTTTGCTCCAGATGGTTTAAAAGACACACGTTGCTTGTGTACAGGGCACTTGCTCGCAAGCGGTAACTTTGTACGTTTTGTCCTGAGAATCTCTTCTCTAATACAGTTTCTTCCTCCGTTTCTTCCTCCCTCCCTCCCCCCCCTCCCTCACACTCACTCACTCACTCACTCACTCACTCACTCACTCACTCACTCACTCACTCACTCACTCACTCACTCACTCACTCACTCACTCACTCACATAGACAGACAGACAGACAGACACAGACAAACAGACAGACAGACAGACAGACAGACAGACAGACAGACACACAGACACACAGACACACAGACACACAGACACACAGACACACAGACACACAGACACACAGACACACACACACACACACACACACACACACACACACACACACACACACACACACACACACACACACACACAGAGTTGAAAGGAAAAAGATTCAATGAAGTTAATTTAATGGTAAAAAAAAGGTAAATATACTTTATTACTGTCAAAAATGATTCATAAGTGTTAGTAACATCATATTAGATTCACTTTGTAAGAATCTACAAGAAATACTATAAAAATCAGATTCTCACAACTTTTTTCTCGTCTGCATCAATCGTAACTCAAAACTCATGGTAATTTTTCTATGAAACATTCTTTTGTTAATCTGTCTCATATTGTTAATATAATATTGTCTATTTGCATTAACTGGTATGAGCCCAATTATAATGTACCTGATAACAGATAATTTGAAATATCAAGGAGTAAGATTAACCCATTGTCACCAGGGAAAATGAAAAAAAAAATGAGGAAAATGCTGTGCTCATTTTTCATATTTTTGTGAAATGTCTCAATATATAGATGGCTCTGCTAGTGCTTAGCCACAAAGGAGTCAAGCAGTAGATCTTGTGACCTTACCTGATTTCACCTTTCCTTGAATTGGCAGGAAAAACATTTTTTACTATTGCTATAAATATCAATGGTGTTATTTTTATCATAACATTATAATTACTATAATGTTATAAACATTAGTAACAGCAAAATAAGATAATGTAATATATTTTCGTAAATCAATGAAAAGGGTGAACGGGCGAGAGAGGCAGTACTCATAACTGGCTCACTGGTGACTTAGTACAAGTGTAGCCACCTATGTGTAAAAATAATTAAACAAGTAAACTCACAGTGGGCATGGCATGTACGTACATGCCATACCTGTCGGCAACAGGGTAACGTCTACTGCCAATGCAGTCATCTATAACCCACTGAACATGAGTTTATCTACTGTCAATTTTTCTTTTTTTTTCTGCATACATGTGACTCTACATGCGCTCAGCCAATTATTAGGCACTGGCGACCTCACCTGATTTTCCTGTTCTTTAATTTTTGGAATTTCTTTTCTAATGGTATTAATATCAATGTTATCATCATTACTGAGATTATGATTACTGTGTTATTAGATAATAATAACAATAAAAAAAGAAGAAAAAAAATGAGAGAGAATCTTTGAAGGTAACAAGGATAGGAAAGGCTAATAATTATTTCTAGGCACATTCAGCTATTTTTCTTAATGGTTATAAAGGATATCTATCAAATGATTCTAATCATATATATAACTACAATCTAAAACACTCACACACTCACACACTCTCACACTCACACTCACACTCACACTCACACTCACACTCACACTCACACTCACACTCACACTCACACTCACACTCACACTCACACTCACACTCACACTCACATACACACACACACACACACACACACACACACACAATCACACACACACACACAATCACACACACACACACAATCACACACACACACACAATCACACACACACACACAATCACACACAATCACACAATCACACACAATCACACACACACACACACAATCACACACAATCACACACAATCACACACAATCACACACAATCACACACAATCACACACAATCACACACAATCACACACACACACACACACACACACACACACACACACACACACACACACACACACACACACACACACACACACACACACACACACACACAAAAAAGAGAGGGATGCAAAGATTGTGAAATATACAATCATTCAAAGCTATTTGGAGTAAAATATTTGAGAAATGAAGAAGAGGGAGAGGAGAGGAGACAGTGTAACCCCCCCCCCCATAGTCTCCTATCCCTGGTGGAGGGGTATGGAGTGAAGTAAAGGATAGGGGGATATGGAGAGTATGACCACAAAGGGGGAAACTCTGACAAAGACTAGGCCAATGATAATTTCTCATTCTGTTTAGAGGGTGGGACACAGTCTAGCTGTTTTACGTGATTGGTGAGGAGAGGGACAGTAGGTGGAGCTAAAGAATCTCTAGGGCAATATAGTCTAAAAAAATAGAAACAGAACAGAATAAGGGATCACTCAGCAGCAACTAAAATAAAATGGAATATTGACAATAACGCTGGCATCACAGTATATTCCACTGGCGTTTCATGACACCAAAATTGGCGTTACTATATAAAATGGGTTAAGGGGCAGTCACACTATTATACTCTGTCCAAGGATACTTCCTTAACTGTGAAGGGAAGCGAGAAGAAAATCCCTTCCTAGAATGGCACTGTTGTGTTGGTCCCAAAACAAAAACTGGTATAATTACCTTATGTATATGAATCTTTTATAAAGGTTCTATTTAGTATTATACTTTGTATTAGGGTATTACTAACAATATATTTAAGTTACACCCACAATATGTTTTCTATATACACAAATGCCCTACCAGCAAATATGTAGACTCACAACAAGGCATATAAGTAACCTTAATACATGGGATTACCTTAAAGGATTTATTAGAGCAATAAATTATACATTCCAAGTCAGTATAGGACATACTGGTGAATTTATGTGTGTGGTTAAACAACAAATTACTAGGAAGCTTATTACTTAATTGTCTAAATGGTGATTATTATATAATAGAAAAAAGAAATGTATATTACAACTACCACTGATGTCTCACTAAAATCTTAAAAGATTATCCAGACAAACTTTCATTTGATCAAGGAATGCAAATACACACCCACTCCAACACACTGAATACACAGAGCTCACTTCAAACATTATTTATACCCTGGTGGATAAAGTGAGAGCTAAAGAATAATTATAGAATACTATCCAAAAATACCATGAGCAAAAAGTTAAAAATAACAATCATGGATGAAATCAACAAGAAGCTTTGCATGGGGTATAATTGTATGGCTGGCAACAATTAATAATATTTTACTTAATTCCAGTTAGAGTATTTGCCTTCTCCCTGCTTTAGTTTTTTATCTGTTTATAATTGTGTCTCTTCTACATTACTGATTACACTAATAGTGGTATTAGTAGCAATAGCAATAGCTGGCACAGTTGTGTGACTTATAATAATTAATAAAATGAGTGGACTGGCTTTTCTAAGCTGATGTCTTCGTTCTTTAATTTTTTTAATCTACAATATATGCAATGATATTCATAGAAACCATAACTATCTTCAATGTGAAGTTCATCCACTAGGTTATTATAGAAACAATGACCTTCCGCCTTTCGGGGACAATGTTTTCCACAGAGGGACGCTGTGCATCAATCCCGCTCTGTAGTTGACAGACACGTAGCTGTCTAGGGATCCCCGGAAAGACAAGACTAGTGTGAATGTTGCTTTAATGACATCACTCACACCAAATATAATATCTAACCAGAAATCAGAAAGATCAAAAGTTTTTTAATTAAGTAAACACAAAGACTAATGTAAAATAGAGAAAAAATTAATTACCATTATCTGGCTCGGTATAAAGGCTATGGCATTCTCGCAGTATCTTCTCGTTGACAGACACAGTAGCTGATTCAGCAGTGTTGACCGCAGAGCGTTTCACCTTGCCTGACATTCTGCAAGAAAATGCTCATGTTAAATTGTAAAATATATTTTTAGCCCACTGGCTGCAGGAACATTTACTGCCTGTTGTTTTGTTGCACACAACTGGCTCCACAAGGAGTCAACTAATAGTTGACTCCTTGTGGAGTCGTGACCTCTCCTGGTTTCTCATTCTTTCGATTTTTTTTTCTTTTTTCTTTTCTTATACTGTCAATGTTGACATCATGATTATCATGTTATCAAAATACTAATAGTAATCCAAAATAAAACCTTTCCAAAAAATCAAGGAAAGGGGTAAGCAGATGAGATAAGTAGGACTAATATCCGACTCCTTGGTGACTTGTGTAGACAATTAATAGACTAAAATTCCTATAAACATGGCAATTATATCATCCCATTCCAGCACTGGGGGATAAATCAAGTGCAATATACATTTCTTATGGGTTATACCTTTTTTTTTCTCTCTCTATCTGCCTAACAAATAGATTATATATCAAGTATTAAAAAATGTGATGTTCCTTGTAGTAATGTTTTGAGAAAATTATCATAGCAATATGAAATAAAAATATATATTTCCAAGGAATAAAGTAAACAGGTAAGATATATAGGTCAGCCTAGTGATTGACTCACTGGTGATTCAGCACTTGTGGAACCATCTATGTGTAAATACAATTAATAATTTACACTCCCTGTGGGTTTGGCACGTTGTTATATGTCATACCTAGTAGTATCAGGTTAAACAAAACAAAACAACAAAAAACAAAAAAACAAAAAAAAATATATATATATATATTTTCACTCTATCCTGGCCTAAAAACACTTTTTTTGTTAAGTGATTAACAGTAAATCTCATAAATCAAAGATCACAAAACAATCTGAAAAAAAAAAATAAATAAATAAAAAAATAAAAAATTACAATGAAAATTTCCTTTTCCAACCATTTCTTTCATCTAAAGTTACCTATAAATATCTAAGCTAAAATCTGTTTTATTGCTATCTTTATCACCACCTTTATTATTATTAAAATTGATATCATCACAAATATATATTTCATTAACATTATATTTATTACTATCATTTGCAATAGTATTACTAATATTATCAATACTATGATTAATATTACCAATTGCACCAATATCATCATCATCATCATCATCATCATCATCATCATCATCATCATCATCATCATCATCATCATCATCATCATCATCATCATCATCATCATCATCATCATCATCATCACTAATATTATTACTACTATCATTATTCCTATTATCATTATTACTATTATCATTATCATTTTTACTATCATTATTAGTATCATTATTACAATATTATTACTATTAGCATTACTATCATAATTGTTTGTATCATTACTTTTATTGCAACTATTATTATTGGTCTACTATCATTGCCATCATTGTTATTATCACCATCATCATTATAATTACCACCATTATAATCACTATCATCATAATCACCATCACCATCATCACTATCACCATCATCATCACCACCATCATCATCACTATCATCACCATCACTATTTTATATTACCATTGTTATCAGCATTATTATATTATCATCATTATTATTATCACAATCATTATCATTACTATAACAGTTTTCATCATTACCATAATATTCACCTTAATAATGATATTAATATCATCACAATTATTGCCATCTTCAATATTATTACCATTATCACCATCATCAATATCATCACTATTATCATTATCATAATCATTGTCCCCATAATTTTTATTAAAATCTTTATCATTACCATCACTATTGTCATTATCAGCACTACTGTCATCATTACTACTGAGGCTAAAATGCATGTGGCAGGTTGGTTGTGATAATTAGATGGTTCAGAGAAGGGTGATGTTAATTATTTGATATCTGACAGGTTGATGAAGGCAATTATTTGAAATACAATGATGTTAGTCAGACATACTGCTTTGTGCTAAGCATCAACAACTTCTGTACATCTCTGGTCCAAATAAAAAAAATATAAGCATCTACTGCAATTGCCTCATTGAAGGAACCCCTAAAACAATATCCATCAGTATCATTATGCATATTCTTTATAATCCTAATAATAAAAGATGGAAAAACATTATCTATATTAAAGAATTCTCTCTTTACCCCTCGGGAGAGTTCACATTATAAAGCCAGTATAACATTTATCTTCAGTGTAATATTTGGACTTGTTTCTCTATTTCAATATATCTGCTGTTTCTATACTTCTAAGAACTCATGTCATTTCTCTATTTCAATATCTATTTCATAATTTCTTGTAGACCACCTGATGATGATCTGTTGAACGCAAAATGATGATTTGCAGAACCTCAAAGTTGGCAATCCCTACACCATATGAATTTTAAAAACTAGACAAAAAAAAGAAAAAAGAAAAAAGACACATAATGTAATACTGCATACAGTACATACTGAAGTACATATTGTCCACTGCAAAGATGAACATCATTCACTTGTTTGAGGACTTAAAACAGCTAGAGAGAAACAATGTTTTCTCCATAATTTTCTATTTATTTTTGTTTTCAATGTTCAGGTTTCTTTATATTATATATCCTATATATTTCACTGAATTTTTATTACTGGGAGTAACTCCTACATAGCTAAGGTTGTACATTTCATTTGAAATAAACAGGCTAACAATAAATGTTAGCAGTAAATATTACAAGAACCCTATCATTTACCAATGGCCCTCATGCCAACAAACCTCCGACAAGTATAATTTGGCAAGATAAAACTTGTAAACCCGGCAAATGATCATAAATAATGAACTACTTAAACTCCATTCTGCCAGAATATACAAAGTTGAGGTTTGATAGCCTCTGCCAAAACACCAACAGCAAAGAAGCTGAGGAGATTCCTTAACCCCAAAGCATGTAATTACCTGTTTCACCCTTCTTCACTGTGTGAAATATATCTTCTTTCTTTACACTATTACATTACATAAGTTTAAAAAATAGACCTCCATAGGATACTCTGGTTGAAAAATTGATCTGTGGCTTACAATCTGATGCTTGCCACCCTGAGCTGTGCCTCACACTCCTAAGATTAAGGTTTGGAGGACCTTATTAAGCAAAGCTGCAAACCAATATATAGCAAGTATAATTACTGACATCCACCAATGAATTGTCAAAAATGACATGAAGTAGGATTTGCTACTCTGCTAATCTAACCATCGGTCAATGATTAATGGTGATTAATGGACTGTCCACTGTGTAGTTTGTTTCTCCCAGATGTCTTCACGAGTGTTCAGCCGCCAAGGAGTTAATTAGTATGGCCTAGTGACTGGCCTTGATTTCCCCATTCCATGAATTTTGTGGAAAAATGTTATCTTTTTGATGCTACAGATAATGATACTATTATCATTATCATAGACATTACGATTATTATAATATCTTCAAAATATTAAAAACAATAAATCATTTTTTTTTTTATCCAAAAATTAAGGAAAACAGGTGAGAAAGATGGGGCTAATAGCTGCAGGGCCATCTATGCTGAAACACAGTTAATAAACTAAAATTATAGGATGTATGCCATCCACGACCACTGGGTTACATACAATTCATTCAACTGGACTTACCTATGGTTATCGATGAAAACTGAAATAATAAAAAATTAGAGCAACATTACATCAGATTGAAAAGATTAAATACATGTATGTTCATTATTATAACAAAACAAAATGCAAAACTCACCAGAAGAAAAAAAAATAAACACAAAATGAATCTCCTGAAAAGTACGAG